CGGTATGAGAAGGGAGATGACACTTTTCAGAGCCTGCAGGGTTTCATATCGTGTGTCACTACCTCACTTCCTGCCTGTCCTTTTTCTAGTTCCCTGGACAATTACCTGATTAGTGACAGCAACCCTGAGCCTCCCCTTTCTTGTGACCCAAAGTGCCAAAGACCCTAGGTGCCTCCCCCTCCCATCCATCGAATTTTCAGGGCAGCCATTTACGCTGCAAGCCCAATTTCAACCTTTTCAATTATTTTCTATTGCCGCCAGTTAGTTTGGTAGACTTGCATTTGACCTTTAATGTAAAAGTCCTGCTATGAGTCTGGATGGTTCTGAAATGCTTAAAGCTGAACTCTAAGGCACAAAACCTTTCATTTAAAGTGGAACTCAAAACCTAAAAATTTTTTTTTCCGTTGTGGATAGGGAAAGAGAGGGTTATAACCACTGTCAGCTTTTTTTGCCATCTGTGTCTCATAGGGGAGATCTCCCTTCACTTGTTGCCCGATAACAGTGCGGGGAAGACCCTGGTGTTCATCAGAACTAGTGTCCCCATTGGAAGATTCTCCATCTTTATTACAGGAGGGGGTGGAGACAAGATCAGTCTCCCTGCACAAGGAGAAAAAGCAGCAGTGACCGGTCTTTATTACAGGAGGGGGTGGAGACAAGACCAGTCACCCTGCACAAGGAGAGAGAGCAGCATTGAGCAGTCTTTATTACAGCAGGGGGTGGAGACAAGACCAGTCACCCTGCACTACGAGAGAGAGCAGCAGTGACTGTTCTTTATTACAGGAGGTGGGCAGAGATGAGACCAGTCACCCTGCACAAGGAGAGAGAGCAGTGAGCGGTCTTTATTACAGGAAGCTCCAAGTCTCGCACTGGATTACTGCACAGATCTGGAAGAATACACAACAAAGCTCACCAAGATTCAAGGAAGAATACACATGACTCTTGTGTTTAGACCATATTGGTTTATCCTGAAGTTCGGCTGAGGTGTGGGTTTGCTGGGGACAGAATTGTCCTTATGAGTACTTCATAGTAGGTGAAGGATACAAGAATTCTGTAATCTGTTTATTCTGGAATCCTTCACCGAAGAGTGTTCATAGCTGTGGTTTTCCTTTAGGTGAGCCCATAATTCGGCAGTATGATTTTTTTTTTGTAGTGATAATGATTTTCTCTCTTGCAGAGTGGATGTTGGATCTGTTACTGGAAATTATTCGGGATAAATCATCCTCACCCCTTCTTTTCCACCTGGCCTTTAAATTCCTCTATATCATTTCTAAGGTAATGTAATCACAGCTCTGTCTTTCTGATGTGTATTATGTATGCATTCTGAACATATAAATATCTCAGTACTATGGACATTAAGAGACGTGAAAGCTGTCAATATTACAGATATCTTTTCTTGCAGGTACGCGGTTATAAAATTTTCATCCGCCTTTTCCCACATGAAGTGGTTGATGTACATCCCGTGCTCGACATGATCCGTGCGCAGAATCCTGCTGATCACGAGGTAAGCCAAAGCAGACCGTGTCCCCTCGACAACATCTGGAAGGTCTGTTACACATACAGCAGTGACAGAGCACTACATACAAGATATGTTTATAGAATCGTTTGCATGTTCTCACTTAAGGTCTGTTTGTAGCCTAATAATCGTTAGCATGTGCCGGACATTGAGCTTAACACAGAACTCCAACCAAAAATAAGATACAAATAAATATCCCATTAAAAGGTAAATGAACAAAACCAGCTTTTGCTGCAATATTCAGCTTTATAGTTTTGAGCGGAACATCTGAACAGCAATGCTGCGGCGCGGGGGAGGGGGCTGCTGAGCTGAATCAACTAATCGATAATGAGAATCGTTGACAATGATTCTCATTATCAATTAGTTGTTGCATCCCTACCACCCACATCATCTTTTTGTTTTTTTAACTAGCGTTCTACTGATTGTATGAGTAAGATACCATATAACCAAATGTGAAGTAACATCAATAATGTAATGCTCTGTTTTGCCTATAGCTCTTAAGTGCATAGTATAGATATTTGGATTAAGCAGCTACATTTCTGCATTTATGTATTAGGAGAGTGAAATGTACTGTTTCCAATACTTAGAGCTGGCGTGTCACACTGCAGCTGTCACAGGTTGGCACTATATATCGAGAGCTGATCGATCACATGACCGCATATCGCTTAGCTCACTGTCTTCTCTCTGCAGAGAGTGATGAATGTCAGTTGAAGGTTCACCCTAGAATTACCTGATGGAAATTAAACAGCCATATGCTCACATGTACCTTGATGAGTGCATAGCGCCATGTGTGACTTCTGTCCGTGTTTTGGTTGCCCAGAATTCAGCATTAGAATAGTGCCGGCTATTACCAGCAGCACTATGCCACTCATGTTGCAGCTCCCCCCCTCCCATGCTTTCTACATCCTGCGACTGCAAAGCCTGATTGGAAACTGCTTCAGTGTGCTTCCTATATGTCCTGATACTCTCAAACACATAGGTGAATACAAAGGGATATCTCCCTTCTTATGTCAGTCATATAACAAGGCTAGGAAGGATCAAGGAAATATTGCCATTACCTTACAAACCTATTGGCAATTGAAATGTTTAAACTTATGATTTGCGTACATAGCTGTATGATTGGCTCTATAAGGTGCATTATTTTCATGACAACCCCCTTATCTCTCTCTGTAGACATGGGAAACCCGCTACATGCTGTTGCTGTGGCTCTCCATGGCTTGTCTTATTCCATTTGATCTCTCCAGATTGGATGGGAATCTCTCTACTGATCAAGGACAGAAACGCCAATCTACCATGGACACCATCCTGGAGGTTGCTAAGGTGCGTGTTCTGTTATGTGCACTCGCTGCATTGTATCTTTTTTTTCTTCTAACAATCATGAAATTGTCCTCCCTAAATAATGTAATTTTGTTGGTTTTGTTTCAGTCCTACTTATTGGTGAGTGACAAGGCCCGAGATGGAGCTGCTGTGCTGGTATCAAAGTAAGTTTGGATCAAGCATCTCTCCCGATGTGTAATCATTCCACGTATGATAACATGGGGAGAGCCACAAACAAATGCACCTACTGTGCCCATTTAGGTGAATGACAGGCGGACTGCAGCCGCATTTGTTCATAGCTGCCCCATGTTATCTGTATAAATCTGTAAAGACCCACCTGAGATTCCTGGTGCACGCATCTGCAGGTTCTTGCCGCAGGAATCCCTAGATGCATATAATAGTCCCGTGTGCATGTAGTCTTATTGTTTCTCTGTCAGAATGCCTTTTCATTAAGCTGCTTTTGCTGGGACCAGTTGATAAGCACCCTAGACGTTGGGTCACCTGACTGCTGGTGTAGAAGCCCAAAGCAGGTCAGATGAAGTTATTTTGGAATGTTAAGGGTTTTGCAAGCGACTTCCTTCTACTTCCTGCTCTGCCATCAGTAGAGGGGTTGTCCGTTTTCTTCATAATTTTATCAGTGGTAATAGAAGATCTTCAGGAATTTTAAAAACGTAGCCTCGCAGTGGGGCTACTCCTACACTGTAAGGGTTAAGTGCTCATTTTGTCTAGGGGGCTCAAATTAAGCAGATATACTCACCTGAGTCAATGGACCTGGATTAGACGTGATGATGTCAGGAGTCCTTTGACCACCGAAGCCTGGGTGAGAAGAGGCTGCGGGGAGCCTAGCAGCCCAGCGGGACCGAGGATCAGGTGAGTATATCTGCTTTATTTAACTCCTCTAGTCAAAACAAGTACATAACCCTTGAGGTGCGTAGGTAGCCTCACCGCAAGGGTAATCTTTTTTCATTTCTGGAGTTCTTTTTTAACCGCCGGCCGATGTACGAGAACGGCCGTCCGGGAGCTTCCTGGATGTGACTGACCGTCTAAAGACCACTCGTGTGCGGGAAAGTGGCCAAATTTAAAAACAGGCAGCGATGCCTGTTTACATACAAGCGTATAGCCGGCGGATTGCTTGTATAAGGTGCAGATCGTGCCCCCCCGTAAACACCGGGTCTTCAAGTGGTAAAACTGCAAAGATACACAGCTTTCCACCCCAGTCCATGACACACCAGTTTGTTATCAGCCTATTACAGTCAGTCCAACAAATTCTATTAATATTAGCAGTTTTCCTTGAAGGACATCAAAGTGACAAATTATGTAGCAATTGCATCTAATAAGAAGTGAGTGTTGGAGGTCTTGTCACCTTGTAGATTGACTCGTAAAGCAAAATATGCTTGGTAACACTTCAGATTCTTAGATTGTAAGCTCCTTGAGGGCAGGGACTTATGTGAATGTGCAACTATGTAAAGCGCTGTGTAAGATGTCGGCTTTATAAATATCTATAATGAATAAATACATTCATTCTTGTTAGTTTTAGGCCCACCTGTAGAATTAGAGTTTGGCCACTAGATGGCAGTACAGAACCAGTCAGGGCTCTCTCTGTATAAGACATACATAGCCTGAGGATACACTTACTCCTGAGTCATTCTACTACACCAAGCTCCAGCATTGCTGTTTATGTCACTGATCATAAAGTGTACTCATTAAGAAAACTGTCTCAGAACATACATTTCTGCTTTTTATCACAGGCTTTCTGTGTATATGAACTGTCATGGAGACTTATTTTAAAAGGCTAAAAGCAACATACAGTAATTGCTTTTTGTTTAATTGCACTATGCATAATTTTTACCTATTTTCTTTCTTAATATTCTCCTATTAAAATAAAAATAAAGTCTGAAAACGTGACGAAGTGATTTTCTGTGACCTCAGGACTAAAAAAAGGAAGGGTTCACTGGAACTGACACACACACACACAGCAATAATGATCCGGCAGAGGTTTTAACCTTTTCGCACTCTGCTAAAAAATACGTTTTTGTTGCTCTTTATGACCCCATTGAAAAGATTTCCCTTGACTTGCTGCCCCTCAGACTCCGACTTAGCTTTATTTGAAGTGACGGAGGATCCCAAGACACCTCAGGGTGAGGGAAGAGTAGACACAGAAATGACAGCACCTGACCTTACCTATTACCTGGCCCAAGCTGTATAATGTGGACCTAAGCCTATGTAGGTACCAACATTTAGAAAGTGGGCTGCTTTGGCACTGTCAGTAACTTCCCATGACAGGTGCAATGTCATTTTCCACAGGAGGAATGCAGGCTAAGAAGGTCACCTCAGAATTCCCTTTGCCTGGCCGCATATTCCAGATTTTATTTCTGGGGAATCCAAGTTTAGCTGGAAGATATAATCCCACCAGAATGTTCTGGGTCTGGTGCAGGTCTGCTTCCTGTTGGATGTGTTTTATACATCTCTGGATTGAGCCTCATAGGATAATTTTTATAGGAAGCCCCAACGATCTCGGCAAAAATGAAAGTAGATTTGTTCTTGACTGCCACCCTCCTCATTCTATGAGCCTTGTAGTCTAGCACAGAATCCACATTTCCATTGTTTACATCCATCACCTTCTACTTTGACTATCTAGGGATGTAATTGCAAAACAATACCGGCGCCTTCAAATCCAAAAAGAGCCCAGCAGTAAAAATACAGCAAACACGGTGGAGGCAGCTCCCACAGATTAGATGGAACAACAGTCTATGAGAAAAAGAACAAAAGAGAGCGCCTCCATAGTGTAAAAATTGTATTTAATAGTAAAAACAATCTAGGGATGTAGATTGAATGAGAACACCCAATTGAATGAGAACACCCAATTCTTGTCCAGGAATTTGGCTCATGCTTCCCCGCATTTATTATAGGGATACTAGTGGACACCCAAGACTCCCAGCCAGGACACCTAGGTTTATCTGGAGCATTGGGCTTAATAATAACTGTCAGAAAACCGATCCCCTGAATGTTGTGAGAAGGAAATACTTTGTAGCTGTACATTGGCCTTCCCCTGTTTTACCCGTGAAGGGATCTGGCTTTTTGAGCTGATTGATGCCTTATACTTTTGCAGGTTCGTCACCCGCCCCGATGTGAAACAGAAGAGATTGGCAGATTTCCTGGATTGGTGTCTCTCAACATTGTCAAAGTCCTCGTACCTGACCATCGAAGGCAGGAATATCATGGATGGGATTCTGCAGGCCTTGGTATGTTAACATGCATGGAATAACGGGAGGGGGGGAGAGGGCTTCTTCTCTCCCGCACATAGGTAACCCAGCACTCTACAGTCATTGTACAGAGCACCTACCAGTATATAGTGTATTTTAGTGCATTCCATAACCCAATATCAGCGCTCTTTTCTGTGAGTAGTTTACTGCAGTTATCGCTGCAGAAGAAACAACTGCTATGTTGACTATTCTGCAAGAGGATAAGTCCATTGAACCATCATGGCTTCTACCTCCAAAAGGCTTTCCCAAAATCCCTTGTTTCTAGAAAAAATTTTTTGAAAGAGGCTAAAGCTGCTAAAACTTTGTGACAGGCCTCTTTCCCACAATCCCCTGTTCCTTTAATTATCACTCTGGTGTGAATGGTTCCTCAAGGCTTTGCTGATACTAATGCTGCATACAAAATAGCATCCATGCTTTAGTTGGCACTCTGCTTAGCTGTACAAAGTATAAACTTTCCTAGGTGCTGGTGTGTAATTGGATTTTGTAGCAATTAACAAACATTCACCTTCCCCACCTAAGGTAAGGGATGCAGATTGGAGAACCTAATCATTCTGAAGGAGTTTCTGTAAGGAGGTAGCTAAAGCTCCATTTGGTCTTGATGTTGTAAAATTGTCCTTAGTAGCTGTGCGATGTTTACATATCTATTTTTTATGGACCATTCCTTAAAGAGATACTCAACTCAGAAATGAGATCCCTAAAATGTATTCAAGCACCTTAACGAGTAACAAAAATGTATCTTATTTGTGTATAACTCAGCTGTAGATACTCAAATATCTCAGAATTGGTGCTGACACTGTCCTTCCTTCTGGAGGGTGGCTACTTTTGTTCCCTATGGTCCTTGTGTGTGTGTTGTAAAGTAGTCACCGCTCCAAACTCACTCCTGGGATGGACTACAATTTCACTTTTAACTTTACTAATTTGTATTGAGATTGTGGTCCATCACGGGAGTGAGCTTGGAGCGGTGGCTACTTTACAAAACACACATGGACCATAGAGAACAAAAATAGCCACCCTCCAGAAGGACAGTGTCAGCACCAATTCAGAGATGATTTGAGGATCTACAGCCAAGTCATACACAAATAAGATACATTTTTGTTATTAGTTAAGATACTTGAATGCGTTTTTAAGAGTTTCGTGTCACTTTAAAAAACAGCAAACACTTGTCGAGGTTGTGACATTTCAGTAGGTCCTCTAGAGGGCGCTATTGTTTTTTTTTTTTTCCTGTGTGTATTAACCAGTTGACATCCGCGGTGTTAAACCCCCTTCCCATCCAGGCCATTTTAACCAGAATAGTATTTTTTTTTATCTTTATACTCCGTCACCAGGAGTCATGTTGTAGGGTTCACAGGCATGAATGAACTAGTGTTCCCTTGACTGAGGTGTGAAGTGAACTCCATATTACAGATGTTCCCTTGTTGAGTATAGAAGCTGCTTTCATTTTCTGACAAGTAGTCCCTTTTATAATAAGGAATGTGCAGGGAATAGGCTTCAGTTTGATGTGTTCTTCTGATTAGTGTTCCATTTAGATGTGTGTACCTTTTTTGTACCTTTTACATTGGAATAAATGAGACTTCATCTTTGCCCCACAGAAAAAAAACAGTCCACCTGGGTTGGAGCTCTGCTTTAATAAAAAAAAGTGGGCATTTGTACCTTGAACTGCATTTCCCCCATTTGTTTGCATTTTGCACATTATTCCACATTGCTTTTTATTCTTAAAGGCTCACTATAGTGAGCCATATTGTTTTTGTGATCATTGTATGGGGCTAATACCTGAAATAATAGTATTTTAGTGTATAAACTCCTCTTTACTTCACATCTTTTTATTTTTATTCACATTTACATACAGGCCAAGCTGTCCATTTAAAGTGACAGTTACAGGGGTTGGACAAATCATAAAAAAAAGTTGGCTGTGCTTACAATGGTCAAAAAAAAAAAAACTACAAAGAAAAACTACTACTAGTGTTAGCTGGAGTTGGGCTTTAACCTTTTTGTGCTACATGTCCATCTAAGACCAGGGTGACAACACTGTTGTGTGATTTTACTGCAAAAAATGAAGTGCTGTCACTCTGGTTAGAAATAACAAATCACTGGCAGGATCAACAGGTAAGAAAGCTAGGTTACAGGAGGGACTTAGACAAACAGAAAAATATTCAGGAGAATTTAAAAAGACTGGAGCAGAGAACATCTGGAGCATGGCAGCCAATCAGCTTCTAGCTTTCACTTTCAAAGCTTAAAGAGGAACTTTATCTTTAAAGTGACAACAAACACACCTTTAGAAATGTTTCGTAATGACAAACACATACTTCTAGATAATTGCCGGATAATTGTATACCTTATTTTTCTCTTCTTCCCCATGCTTCTCATGGTTTACATTTTTTAAGTCAAAGATTTTTATTGATTTTAACGTAACATTACATTTTTGCTAAGACAGTGGAAACATGTGAGTACAGCACGCAGTGCAAGGGAGTACAGAATGTATTGGGAGAGGCACAGCTCTAGAGTTAAACAAAATGACAGGTATCGCTGGTGTAGTAGGCTCGCCCGTCGAGTTGATCAAGTTTGTGACAGGGTCCACCTGAATACTGAGGGGTCCGGCAAACTTACAGGGCTAAATAGAGGAAGTTGTTCCTTTGTGAGGCACTGCATAACAGGACCGCCATTCTTGCTGTGAGAGAGTACTAAACCACTGCAAACGTCAACCATGAAAGATCGCGCCTACGAAGGGCAGTTGCAGAGAGAAAGAGGAAAGAAAGGGGAGAGAGTAGGGAAGACTGGGGTGAGAAGGGAGAGGGGAGGAGAGAGGGCTTACCGGTGTGGGTTCTGGGCATGCATGGGGGATTTTCATTGTTGAAGCGTAGTTTTTTAAAGTGGTAGCAGACTGCTGTCAAATGACTGCGACTGGAGATATTGGATCCATGGTTGCCACGTCTGTTCAAAGCGTGCGACTTTGTCTTCTAGCCTGGCAGTGATACGCCCGTTAATGAAGGTCCAGTGGAGCCTGCGTTTTACTTAAGCAAAAGGGATAAAAGTGGACTTCCAGGATTTCGCCAATGATTGCTTAGCCGCCGTGACACCATGCACCAGAAATTTATGACTGGCATGAGTTATGCTTTCTGGAGGAAGGTTGAGTAACACCACCTTCGGATCAAACGGCAGCGTCGTCCCTATCAGGTTAGCCAAGAAGTCCAGTACACAGTGCCAAAAGGCCTGTGCTGTCGGATAGGACCACCACTTCTCCACAATCTCGGAAGCACTCCCCCGTATGTCCTGTTACGAATGCCCGCATACGACTTGGGACAAGGTACCAGCGATAGAGTAGTTTGTAGTTGGTCTCTAGTGAGGTCGCACTCCGGGAGCTGGATTTGGCCGTTTCCCATATAGATTGCCAGTCAGCTTCATCAATGGGGTAACCCAGGTCTCTCTCCCAGGCAGATATATAGGTGTGGGGATTAGTAGTGAGGTTAGCTAGTAGACAGTCATATATGGAGGAAATTAGTCCAGGAGCGTATTGGTCATTTGTTGCAGGCCCTTTCAAAAAAGGTGAACGTGTGGCCAGTAGGGAATTTGGGGACTTGGGAGGACAAAAAGTGTCTGACCTGGAGGTAGCGAAAATGTTCGGTGGCTGGGAGTTGATAATAAGATCGCAATTGCTGAAACGTCTTGCGAGCCATCGAAGTGTATAGGGTGTGTATACCAGTGACGCCTTTCAGTTTCCAGTGGTGAAAAGCCGCGGGGGACTCGCAGCCAGGGGGAAACGAGGGATTCCAAACGAACGACAGAAGCGGACGGTGAGGGGACAGTAGCTGCGCCGAGTATTTATGGGCATTCCATACGCGCAGGGACGGCAACTGGGTTTATGACGTTTGTTCGGTCTTTAGGTAGGAGCCACAGAAGATTATCTATAGCAAGCGGAGCGCAGGCGACTGCCTCTAATGAGACCCAGAGTGGGGGATCAAGGGTGGCGTGGTACCTAGTCAGAGGAGCAATTTGGGCCGCCACATAATAACTGAATATATGCGGGACCCCTAAACCACCTCTATGTTTAGGCGAATAAAGCGTTTGCCGTGAGATCCGGGGGCGGGTATTGTGCCAGATAAAGTGGAAGAGCTGACGCTGCAATATCCGGAATTTATGTGCCGGGATTGGGACAGGGAGCACTCTGAACAGGTATAGTAATTTAGGTAGGTAGGTCATTTTGACGGCTGAAATTCTTCCTAACCAGGAAATAGAGTACCTTGACCAGGAGTGCAGTAGTTGAGAAAGGTGGGAGAATAGAGGGGGGTAATTTGCTGCATATAGGGATTCAAGGGAGGGGGTAAGGCGAATACCCAAATAGCAGAGGGAGTGTGATTCCCAGGAAAAGGGTAGGGATGCTCGGATGGTTTAAATTTTTACTAATACCAGGTTACTAGATCTCCCTTTACTTCCTGGAACTCTGGCACATGTGACAAGGACATGTGACCATGCACATCAGCTCAGGGGAGGAAAATGCCTTTCCCTGAGATCTCTCATGAGTTTACCCAGCAATACTCTGCTGATGTAACCTTCACAGGATGCAGTGCTTTGGCACAGATTATTGATTATATAATGATTATCATTAATGCCCAAGAGGACCAGGAAGTGGAAAAACAATAATGGTAAGTAAAAGTAAAATATGTTTAACTAATGAATGTAAGATGATTCTATATCAGCATGCAGAGCTGAATGCTGATGTGATTTCTAGTGAAAGGGGGTCGTGGTTGACTTTGTCTGATCATGCTGAAGCTGATTGTTTGCCATGCACAGCTCCTCCTGATTCTGTCTGCTCCACTTTTAGTCATTTCCCCCTCGCCGTGTTAATGCTACTGACAGACTGCATCATATGTCATTTTTTTATTTTCCCCACTGAGTTCCACTTTAATTTCTGAATCGACCAAGCATCCGGAGCTTTTATTTTTTGCAGCGTATGAAATCTTCAGAGGGGTGCTGAGGAGAGGCTG